CGTTCTGTGATTCTGTGATTCTGTGAAGTCTCATATTATTCTTGCTTATGGGCCTTTATATGCAGCTTCATTTACATGTTTCTTTATCAGGTGTCCCTTTCTCTGTAGAAGTGTGGAGGAGGTTCTGTTCACTTGTTTTTGTTTTGTTGGGTGTGTTTGACATGCAGCTGTCTGATGAATAATTAGACTGTTTCTCTTTTCCTTAGTGGAGGTTACTAATCACTTCATTTAAAGGTAGCATAGCAGTCTAGAAAACTTTAAATGTCGTGATGTAAGCTAAGTTACCCTGCACTCTGTCTGCTAGCTTTTTTTGCCTCCCTTTCAATAAAAAAAAAATAAAAATATGATCTTGGTACTTGTGGGAGAACCTGGCTTATATTCTGCTGGTAAGCAACATTTCAGGTGAACTCCTATTAGTTTTGTGCTGAAAGATGCAAATATTTAGTTTGATGCTATGTAATGCTGGTGAATTTCAAGTTAGTCGAGAATTCTGAATAATGGCCTACAGACAGGCAAGAAACCTCTTAATTCCCTGAGTGCAGAGAAAGAACTTTAATATTTACTTTTAAGCTGAAATTTTACAAAGAAGCAATTCCAACCCTAACATCTCTTCCCAACTCTGTTGGATAGCTAGGCACTTCCAGTTCTAAACCATCTGTGTAGCTTTTTGACAAATAATAGTCACAGGAGAGCTGTTAAGTTGATAGTGTGTCCCTATCTCCGTCTCTACCAGCTTCTTTCTGCTTAAAACATCTGGAGGTGGACTGTGATAATCTTTTTGATTTCACTTCCTCACTGAAGTCCTTTGAGACTTAGCCTTGATATGTAAGGGTACAGTTTGACAGCTGACTCTCAGTGACTGGCTTAAAAGCAGCTTCTATCCCTTCAGTTACACCAACAAGCTGAAAACAATACAGGGAGTCAAGGGTGTAAAATCTGATTTAGATGCTGTGTGGCCTGACTGCTAGTTGTGCTGGCACACCATGGAATAGGGGGGGAAAGCTGCACTACTGCTTGTAGCATTACTGCTAAGAAACTATGCAAAACGTTCCCAAAAGGTGCAGTCTTACGAGCATTTTGTTGGCAACTGTGCGTTTGCTTAAGTAGTTCTTTCTTGGCCCTGAAGTGCTGATGCTTTTGATTAACATACACAGTGAAGCAAATAAAGGAATTGATCCAAACCTAAGCATGGAAAATAGTTACTAATGCCGATCAGTTTCCAAGTTTGGATGGCTACAAATACTTGTGGGTGTGAAGGGTGGGAGTGAGGATAGGCAGGAACTGATTGAGCTATACTGAAGGAGAGAGGTCATGAATGTTGAGGAATACAAGTTTGCCCAGGTAGCTTAAGATGCAGCAGTGATCTTAATGCTTTGAGCTTTTGATTGGAAAGTATTGGTGGATTAATTTGAGCAAGTGTAGAACATGGCTTATTCCACTCAGGTTAACCACTCCCTTTAATGTACCTACATTAAAAATACATCAGTCCATACATAAAAATATTACTTGAAAAATAGTTATTTTTATGGGTAATTTATATAACTATTCAGTTGCTCCAGGGGCAAAAGATACATCCTTTCCAGAATGCTAGCTAAGTAGCTGAGAAATGATGCTGAAGTAGCATGACACTTTATGCTACTGCTGCAGTTCCTGTCTTAAAATGACATTAGAAGAATTGTTTTGAGCTGCTGCATCTGCAGTGCAGCAGGGAAGGCTAGAGGTGAAAGAACAGAAAATCTATTATAGAAAACAGTCTGAAAGAATGCAGATACAGATGACTAAAGGTATGTGAACTGAAACCATAGTCAATGGAAAATTGTTGATCTCTGTAGAGACTGGATCCTAAAAGATTTATCATAAGAATCTGTGATGTATATAGTATATGGGAAAGTGTGTAAAGATGTATGTATGCTTCAACAAAGGTAAGAAAAGGGTATATTCCTGTTCTGCCTTCTGAAACGGAACTGAAGAATTCTATCAGAAGGCTGAAGCTGGTGTTCATCTTGTTTAGGATGCCTTGGCGTGAGGTGTATTTTCTGCTCTTGGTCATCTCCGCTTTTGTATGAGGAAAGCATTTAGGAAGGTCCAATCAGATTAGTTGTGTGAGGTTTTGTATGTGCCGAGTGTCTTCTCTGAAGACTTAGTGGAGCTTCATTGTTGTGAATGCTAATGCTTTAAATTCTTCTCTATTATTGAAGCCCTCTAATACATATAAAAGAGCAAACAAATTCTAGGAGGTGGTTTAAACTATTCTTGAATAATTAAAGAAAACCATATTTAATGCGTATGTTTCTTTTCTAAATGACATCCAGAGAACTTTTTTTATGTGGTGAAGGTAGTATTTACTGGATATGTCATACTCAGAATTGGAGTATTTGCACCTAACCTTGAAGTCAGCTGACTTTATTAATTTTATTCATCTGTTTTCTTTCTTCCCTGATTTTTCGTCTAAGCAGTGTTAATTTCTTTAACAGTGAACTACTTCTTATGAAATAAAGAAATGGATGGGATGGATGAAACATCTAAAAGAATCCTAGAGCCATACCAGTATTTACTTCAACTACCAGGCAAGTTTCTTTGTACTGTGCCATTTTTGAATATCGACATTGTTTTTGTAGCAACTTTTGTCTGAGGAATTATAAGCCAAGAAGTTTATCCATTCTTGATGTGTGGATTTAAAAGTCATTAAAAGTAACACTTTGCAATATTTGTTCTTTTCTTCGTGTTGTAGAAGCATCCTTTTTTGTGAGATTGATACCATAGCTCTTGAGTCTGTCTGTTGCAGTGTAAGTAGTATTTCAGTTACTGTGTTCTCCATTCAGTGTAGCTGACTTGATTCTTTTTAAAACTGATAAAGGCAACTACTGAAGACTTGATCCCGTTCTTAAAGAGCAAAACATTGTCAGCTCTGAGTTCATCTGCTTGCTGTACTGGACTCAATGGGTTTTGTTGTTTTTCTTTAAAAAGCCTGTTTCTTTTGTGTAATTTCTTCTGCCTGATGTGTAGAGCCAGGCATTCATATGGCAAACTTCAGCTGTCCCTAGATTGCTTCACTTGCCAGAAGATCAGCCAGTCCTTGTCAGGTCACTATCAACACATTCAAATGACGTTTCCAGTCTTGAACAGTACCTATTTTAGCAGAATTCAGGAGGCAGTTTGTTAAAGTATAGATGTGCGTCTCAGAAGCCTCTTTGCTAACTAAACAGCCAGATTGTTTACTGTGGCTTTTGCTTGTACACTTAGCTTGTATGGTCTTCCTTACACTTTATCAAAGTGACTTTGTAAAAATTGTGGCAAAACTACTTTGTCATTAGAACTGTTGCATGATTGCCTTCTGTCTACCTTATATTGCATACAGGTGAAGTTAAGGAAGATACAAAATATGGTAGATATTAAGAAAAATAATTCTGACCAAAATTCTGTTTGATGAAGGCAGAAGACTTTGTCTAGACAAATAGTATAATGAATCACAGGCACAGTGTGAAGTGGCTTTTGCACATCTACAGTGAGACCTGTGTATCAGCAAGGTGGGTCCTGTGGGTCCTAATTATTCCTGTGTATGATGAATTTCATTATTACTCTACAAGTATCTAGAACTGTCTTGTTTACATTAGTGATTTTATTTGACCTTGCAGTTTGTACTAGAGTTGAAAAATAAGAAAAGGAAAGAATTTGGCAGTAATACATCTTTTTAATGCCAGAAAGCTTGTTTCCCATTTCCTCAGTGTATTCCATTTGGGCATGTTGAACTGTGTGGTGGTTTTACTAGATAACTACCTTGAGAATGAGTCTACAATATGCCAGAGAGCTTTCTAAGAGCTGATCCTGAAGAAATTTACTTTCCTACAACACCATCTTTAAGTGTGCTTTTTGTTTGGTTAGATTCTCTTATATAACCAAGCTATATTGTAACACCTCTGCATCTTTAGCTGCTGGTCCTTTTTTAAGGTAGTGTAGGTACCAGGAAAAAAAAAAGCAACATCAAAAAAACACCACCACCACCACCTTGGCTTCCTAATAGGAAACATACAACAGACAGAAAGTGCCAAAAAAAGTATCCTTAGGCTCTTCAACCAAGAGCTAACTTGGCTCTTCAGTTAGCTTTCACTTTAACTGTAAATGCTAGATGCATAATTTAACCTTCCCACCTTGACTTCTGTGGCTAAATTCCTATACTTCCTTGTGAGTTAGTTCAACCCTGATCACACAGTAGTGATTGCTTATATAATGTTACACTTACTGACAGTGCAAGTATTTTATATCCTAGCCTGTTAAGGTATCATAAATCTGATTGCCAACTTTAAATTAATGAGAGATCAACATGTTAGTTTATGTTTTGGAGGTGATGAGAGGCGAGGTATGCTTCTCGCTATGCAAAAATGGTGGTGTGATTCCAAAGGGAAAGCTTCTCTTGAGCTAGGCAGATAAAAGTAACAGGTGAGTAACAGTGAGAGTTGACAATCATATAGCTGAATGTTTACTGGTTTTGAAACACTGTGTCTTCCCCAAAGTCTGCTGTGCCAAGTGCAGATCAGTAGAAGCCAGTTACTTGGGTGAGCCTGGGAATCGGGATGAGCACCAGTGCTTGATGAGTGTGAAAAATTGGGTGCATGCTAGCTGTTCATAAATTAGGGTGGAGCCCAAATGAGTTGCCTGAGTTAATCTAACAAGCTCTTGTTGAAAGAGGCAGTTTCATTCCATCCACTATTCTTCTGGCAGTATTCTCCTGCTTCTTAACTTGGGCCAGTTCTCAGCTTGCTAACCAAATGATTAGGTAGTATCGATCACTGAATCTGTTAAAAACTTGCCTGATTGATTTTTCTCATGTCTTGTTAGTGAGCTGGCACAAGGGTGGGGGCAAGGAACTTTTTCTGTGTTGGATCAGCTTGACCTCTGAGAGGCTTTTGCAGAAAGCTTGGATGAGTGTCAGATATGTACGTTTATGCCTCTACAATAGTTCAGTTACTTATCTTTAAGACTAGTTAAAAAACAAACTCTAAATAGTTTAGTAACCCATGAGAACTTGAATAAGTTTAGATACATATCAATCTTTGCCTAAGTAAAAGGGAATTGTGTAACAGTATTAAGGTGGTTGGGGGCAGGGAAAGTGCCAGCTAATGTTGTCTGTAGAGTTAAGGACACAAGCTTTTATAACTGTTAAGGATTAATCCCTCAATACAAGAGGAAATTGATTACTCCTCTTCCCATTAAAGAAACAGGTCTTTTAATGGTAAGAGTTTGGGGGAGATACTTTAAGCTTGTTTATTTCTTTGACTTCAGTAGCCCTAGGATGGAGAAACTGCTTAAGGTTTTCTATTATTTTGCTACTTTACTGCTAGTAGTTAATTAATGCTTATTCCTTCACTAGCAGAACTTAGTGCTTGGGAAGACGTATGTTCTGAAACAGTAACTTTTCTTGTAAGATCTCAGTGTAGTAGAACATTGCCATACTAGTTTATAGCAGTGTTCTGCTTAAACTAGTATTCTGTACTTTAGTCTCATGAATGTTCAATAAATAGGATTAACTTTTGCAAATTCCAATGTAGCTTGTCTGAAAAATGGCCTGATTCACACAGATGATGAATCTTTTATCTCTGAGTGGCTGAGTTAACAGCAGTAACTGTTCTTATACCACTAAGGAATATATGGAGTTTCAGTTGCAGTAAAACTTTGGTCAACAACTTGCTATTGAAAGGGGTGGATTCTGATCACATTCATGACTGTGCATTTTCTCTTTCATGTGCATTGCTCTGGTCTTGGCTGCAGTCCTTCCTGGCCTTGTTTAGCAAGCTAAACAATCAAGACTGGCTTTTGGTTTTCAGGTTTTCCTACTGGGCTGTTGAACTTGACCAGCTTGGTGGAAGAGTTAAGCAGCACAAGGCATGATCCTTATTACTGGCATAACTTGAAGTGCTACATCAGAGGCCTCAACCTGAGCCAAGTTCCTGAGGGAGGCTGCAGCTCTCCAGGTTCTGAGCTGCAGGGATACCTGGGCTCCCACTGGGCCAGAAGAAAGTGATGTCCCTGCCCCTAAAAGATGTGCAGTCATGGAAATATGTGTGTAACCAAGCAAAGGAGCAGTGGAAGGGGGTCAGCAGACTGCACAGCATCAGAAAAAGCAGAGCAAGAGCCTGAAGGCTCCAAGTATACTGAAGGAGGGGCTGAAGAGTCTGTCCATATCAGGTTGGGAAATGGAGCTGATGGCTTTTAGCACCAGAAGAAAGATTTCTGTTCCTCAAGCAGATGTGCAGTTGCTAAATAGGTTCAATGCACTGGTAAACACATGGCTGGAAGCTCTGTATACAGCAAAGCATCAGACCAGCACCCAGTGACAGCAACAAGTGACAATAGTGGTGAGACTGCTTCCTGCTAAGGGTGACAGAAGCCTCCACCTGGGCTGCTGTCTTAAGGTTTGCTGCTTCTGGGTAGCTCTGATCAAGGATGTTATGGAGGGACTGCCAAGGTGTGTTTCACTCTCAGACTGCTTAACCCTACAGCTCTTCCACTTGAGCACTAATGGGTATAGTGAGGGGATGCCTGGAGCTTGTCAAGCATGACTATGTGGGTTTTGGGATGAGGGCCAAGGGCACAGAAAGCCAAGTGGCTTTTCTCCATGATCCTCAACCCCTTTCCTGTCACCATCAACAGGAACAGACAGATCCTGCCTGTCAACAACTAGTTAGTGGCACAGCTGATATTGATAGCTGAGATGTGGGGTTTATTACCATGGGACTTCCTTTGTAGACAAGGGTTACCAGGAGGGGAGAGAGCACCCACCTGCCTAAATCAGGACAAAAGTGTCTCTGCCAACAGGCTGAGCAACCTGGTGAGAGAGGACTTAAACTAGAAATTACAATAGAGGGGAATGACCCACAATCAAGTAAGGAAATGGTGAGCTTGCAAACAAAGGGTGTAGGCTGATGTGGACAAGAGACACCTAGTGATCACCAGAGCAGAACTGACGCCAGCCTATCCCAAGTGTATGCACTCAAACAAGGAATTACAGACAGGACAACATGATGAGAGAAGCTCTCACTTTCTGGAGGAAATCTGCAGGACTGGTTGCATACACCATGGGTAATGAACAGAAGGAGTTAGAGGTGTGCATGTTGTTGCAGGGCTGCAGTTTTATTGGAGTATCTGAGATGCAGTAGCTTGCATAGCTGGAGTGCTGCAATGGATGGATATGGACTGCCTGGGAAGGCAGTCTGGGGTGGTAAGGAGTGTGAGTTGCCTTTTCTGTGAAAGAGCAGCTGAACTGTGTGGAGCTCTGCCTTCAGTCAGGCGATAAGCCTGCTGAGAGCTTACGAGTTAAGATTAGATCAATAGGGGTGACATGATAGGGGGTCTTTGGTACAGATCTCCTGAGCAAGAAGTAGTAGATGAGGCCTTCAGACAACTGGAAGATGTCTCATGCTTACAAGCCGTGATTCCTCATGTGAGACTTTCAACTACCTCAGTATCTGGTAGTAGAAGCGACAGAGCAGGGCACAGACAATCCAGGAGGTTTCTGGAATGCATTGATGACCACTTGCTAACACAGGTGGTCAAGGAGCTGATGAAGGAGGGCATTATGCTGGACCTCACACTTAGAAACAAGGAAGAATTGGTTAGGACATGAAGACTAGAGGCAACTTTGGCTGCAGTGACCATAGAATGGTGGCATTCAGGATCCTGAAAAGGAACAAGGCAAAAATCAGGATCTACAACCCTGGACTAGTTAACCCTATATTGAACAGGGAAGTTAAGCTAGACAATTCTACAGTGACCTTAATCCATCACAAGTGGCTGCCCAGGTTTAAAAGCGTATTAGACCTGTTCTCTTTGTTATCTTCCTGCAGTTCACTTATGCTAGCTGTAGTGTCCTTGTAGCTGTGTGGGGAGGTTTGCTTGGGGAATTTATCCATTTAACCCTGATCTATCGGAGAACAGAGCTAAACATTAAAGTGTGCGATGTAGTTGAGGTAATGTTGTAGCTTGCTTCCTCCAGAAGGGCAATGCCCCCTTCCCCTGGCTCTCAGCATCTGCTGCTTACCCTGCACTAACTCTGGCAGACCCACTTCATAAGCTGACTCAGTACTTTAAGCTGGCAGAAAGCTAACCTAGCAAAAAGCAGACTGTTTTCTGCTGGGGTAATGAGTTGAATTAGTTTAGTGAGACTCTAATGAGGACTAGGTTAATAGTCCCTCTGCACTTTCCCATGCTGTTCTAGCCCTTTTATGTACCCTCACTGTAAGTCGGGTGCTGCCCTAAGGGCATAGTTTGTGATCACTTTAATGCAGGAAGAGTGAAGAAATACTGATCAGGAGCCTGTCTGGAGCTGGAGGTCTGTGGGTTTTGGGTCTGTACCCTGTCACAAGAACAATTGTGTATACAGCGAGTAAGTCAGGCTGGTGTTTTTTTAATTTCAGAGAAACATCTCATCTGTCTGAAGTGCGAGGGATTGTCCTCAGTACAACATCTTTAACTTAATCTTTGTTTCAAGGATAAGGATATTACATTCATATTTGTAGAAGGAATTTAATCAGAGTGAATTTGCTATATTCTGAATATTTTTTCACACCTTTTCTACCCAGCATTATGAAGGAGGAAAGCTTTCCATAGTTGCTCTTTGATTTGGTTAATATTTGGATTTTAAGCAGATTAAACCAAGTGCATTTAGCCTAACTTTTGTAAAAGCTTGATGGAGTAATGTCTGTTACTGTAGCTCTATACAGGAGAGAGAGCTTCTGATTTTGGAAGTTAGACATCTATATTTTTCAGTTTTGTTTACAATAGCCTACTTAAAACAGTTAACAGAGCAGTGACATGATAATGAAGAAACTGGATATTTCACAGAATGCTTTGGGTTGGAAGGAACCTTTAGAGGTTATCTAGTCCAACCCCCCTGCAGTGAGCATGGACATCCTCAACTAGATCAAGTTGCTCAGAGCCCCATCCAACCTTACTTGAATGTTTCCAGGGCTGGGGCCTCTATCACCTGTCTGAGCAACCTGTTCCTGTGTCTCACCACCTTCACAGTAAAGAATTTCTTCCTAATATCTAGTCTAAGTCTACCTTCTTCCAGTTTAAAACCATTCCCCCTCATTCTATTGCTACCTGCCCTTGTGAAAACTCCCTCCTCAGCTTTCCTGTAGGACCCCTTCAGGAACTGGGAAGATTGCATTCAGAACTGGAAGACCGCAGCCTTCTTTCAGTCATCTGCAAACTTGCTAAGGGTGCACTCAGTCCTGCTGCGTGTGTCAGTGATGAAGATTCTACACAGCACTGGTCCCAGTATTGACCACTGAGGGACACCACTTGTCACTAATCTCCATCTGGACATCAAGCCATTGACCAGTACCCTCTGGATGCAAGTGTTGAGTTTTACTCCTTTTAGTGTCTTTCTAGTGTCCCTGGATTGTTGTCTAGTTTGCGAAGAGGAGAAGTGTGGCAAAGAATGGAGGCTTCTGAGACCAATATCAGAGGGGTTTTGTCTTTTGCCATCATAACATGGCTATAGGCATAAAAAGTGCATACATGAAATCACTGTAATATCACATAGACTAGATAGGATTGACTTCAGAACAAGATAAAGTAGCATTTGTGTAGCAATAATGTTCCTTAAAGGGGCACTCACAAGCAGCACCTATGAATGGAAAGATGAATGCTTCACGACACACTATTTTTCCTTGAATAATAAGTGTCTAGATAGCCTTACTAGTCAAATTAGACAAGTCCAGCAATTCAAATACTGTCTGTACTGAGGAACTGAAGTGGCCAAATCCACTGTGAATGTTGTTAATACATTTAGAGTATGTGCTAGTAGTTATGCTCTTCATTGAGAGAACACTTGTTGCTGTACATCCAGCATTCCACAAGCGTATTTTCTAGGAAACGCATTCAGAAAAACTAAGTAAGCTACCTAATGTAAAGAAGTAGGTGTTGTCTATATTGGTGTAATATAGAAGTGAATAAACAGCTGTAGATAGGGTGTACCTCAATGTGATATTATCTGAGTAGTTTTCTTTATAGGTGTACTGAAATATTTGTTAATATTAATGGCAAGCCATACAGTTTGGCAGATGTTTGTAACAGTTATTCTCAATATTTTTGAGTAATCATTTCTCCTTAGAGTTAACTCATGCAATTATTTAGAAATAAAAGACTGAACCTCTGATGCACGGCATTTTGACTCTCCCTTGTGCAGTACTGGTGGTTACAAGTGTGTAGTGAGTCTGATCAGGGAGCCAATCTGGCCAAAATGTGATCTAATCACATGGACAAAAGGGAGGAAGTCTGAGTGTTCGAAGTGTTTCAGATATTTAGTATCTGCAGGAGATGTTGTCAAAAGCAGGTCTAACTTGAATTGGTTGTGGTGTTTAGTTAACATAAGAGATTTTAAAACTCTTGGGTACTAGTCTAATTTTGTATTTAAATTTGAGCTCTGGTTACCAGTGTTAAAATAGTGAACCTGTAAGTCAGCAAATTGATTTAAATAAACAGGTTTTTTTAAAAAAATAATTAAGAACCAGCTATGTTCTTCCCTGATAACAAGCAAGCCTGACATGGGGACCTTAAAATCTGTTCTGCTCTTTGAGAGACAAGACAATCCCTTCCTCCTGGACAAAGCTTATTAGTGTTTAAAACTGAGCACAGAAAACAGAAATGGAGAACACAAGGCAATGATAGTGTTTATCCAGGGAAGAATGCCCTTTCACACAGGACAGAACCAGAGGACAAAGCTGTTTGGGGGTGGGAAAGAAGCATATTTTCATTAGTCTCTTCTATTGGAAACTGAAAGATGATGGTGATGGGAAGCAGTGGAAATCTTTTGAGAGCTGCGACAAAAAATGAAGCACTTTGAGCCTTTGCTACAGAGCCCAAATCACAAAGCTATTGCTTACCTGGTGGTGACTTAATTAGAAAAGGAAAAATCCTCAGTCCAATTTCTTCAGGGTATATCACTGTAAGTGAATCTACCCATTTTTATTACTCTGTTTTGTATTGTGTTGGTCACACAGCAATAGAGAAGCCTTAGGGAAAG